CGGCTCCTGCTCCGCGCCATCTTCGCCTCGTTGGCGTTCTTGAAGAGCGCGAGCACCTCGCGCGTCTTGTGCTCCGCGGCGTCCGCGCGCTGTCGCTCGGCCTTGAGCTGCTCGGTGATGGTGTAGAGCGTGCGCTTGAGGTCCATGGTCTCGCGCTCGCGCGACACTAGGACGCGGGCGACGTCGCGCATGGACCCGCCAAGTATGCTGGGTCCATCTTTTGAGCGGCGCTTGCGAGGGATTTCGCTGCTGGAGCGACGGGAGTGGGGTTCGATGGGGGAGGGGGAGGCAGACGATTCCGAGTCTCCATCCATGCCAAATTTGATGATATACCGACGAGTGTCCTTGGTACCGGCACTTGCTTTTCTGAATAGAGGTTGGGTGTACTGTACAGGCTGTCGGTTTGGCTCAGTACACGCGCAGAAGGGACGGAGATGAGCACGCACCGTGACCAACCAAGTCGTGAGCTCGTTACGTCCTGCAGATCGCGAGGTCAAGTTTTGCGTAAGAGAAGTATCCTGGGCCGTCCGCGTATGGCAAGTCCTTGTACTCACCGTAAACAATGATACAAACAGAGAGCGTAGACAAAGATATGCGCAGAAAACACGCGAGGATACGCGAAGAGAGGTTTGGAGATGACCGTGGTGGCCAAACACTGAACGCTCCAAGGAAGCGCCCATAACACACAATAGACGCGTATAAACGCCCATTGTTTGACGTAAACCCGGGCCTATCGGTCACTCTCCCTCCCGCACCATGCACCTCTCCGTCTTGTAGATGCCCCCGACAGCCCACTCTCCGCCCACAGCGCCTCTCTCGCCGCCGCCGCGAGCGCCTACGCAGAAGCCAGTAGTACCGCTCAATCTAGACGGAGCTGGGAGGCGCGCGTAGCTGGGAGGCGCCGTAGCTGGGTATCTCCCAGAGATAACGCGCACCTCCTACCAGATTTGGAGGGGGCGATTTGACTGGCGCTTAGATGCTATGCTCGGGCATCTCGGTGAACGCTGTTCCTCCGCTCTGTTCGTCTGCCCAATAATGTAATTCCTCTATACAGTACTTGCGTCGACATACCAAGGTTATTTAGCCATAGTTTTGAATATTTGGCACTTTTACACACCTCCTATCGCAACTTTCGTTGAACAAAATACATCCTGACCTCGATTGTGTCGCTCTGAGTTCATAATGCCCGATCTGGCGCTCGTCGTGGATATATAACAGCCCATGCGTGTCAATAGCTACATCATGTACCAAACTACGCATGAATGGCCACGAATACAGTCCAGAACACTCCAAGGAGTGAGGGAACAGCGTTCACCGAGATGCCCGAGCATAGCATCTAAGCGCCAGTCAAATCGCCCCCTCCAAATCTGGTAGGAGGTGCGCGTTATCTCTGGGAGATACCCAGCTACGGCGCCTCCCAGCTACGCGCGCCTCCCAGCTCCGTCTAGATTGAGCGGTACTAGTCTCTCACGTCATCGTCGCTCGACGTACGCTCACGCTCACGTCCTTCTAATCCCTGCTTTGTCTCTGCCCGCTCGTGCTTCACGCGTATATCGCCTCTGTTAGTCTCCTGTCCTGTCTCTCACGCCGGCCGTCGCTCTCCTCCCAGTCGGTAGAACGGCTCGGGAAAGCGCTCTCCATTCGCATATCGTACACCGGCACTAGCTACAAGCACACGCAGCCGCTCGCGCTCGTCCCCGTCCGTCGCGGCACTGGGCGACGCAGCCCAAGCGGCCAGCCTTGTGCGGGGACCTATGTACTAGTACATACCCTACCGCTCTCTGTCTGCCTGTCCTCCCCTCCCGCCCAAGGCTCACAGACACGGGTGAGTGTGTCTCGCGGCGCGGAAACGAGAGCCTGAAGCACGTCGTTAGTACAGGTACGGAGAGGATGTCGCACGGACTTACCGTCACGCTCCCCACGCGTCGCCTCCCGCCGACTGCGTTCGACGATGCCCCGCGTACGGCGGCCATGCATCCGACCACATGTCGCGTACGCTGTGGATCAGTACGCGCGTACCCCGCACCGCTGTTTACCTCTCGACCGCGCCCGCTTGCTCGACAACATACAGGCGAGTGCATTCTCGTCGGGGGAGTGCAGAACCGCATGCTAACGTGCGTGATTAGTGCAGGTACGTAGACAAGGTCGAAGTGCCTCACCTTCGCGCATCCCCACGCGCTCACCGAGCCCCGCGGCCGGGGCTCGCGGTTGCCCTGTGTACGACGACGCAACACGCGAGCCGCACGTAAGCAGTCAGCGTACGGGCGAGCGGAGCGGCTGGGGGCGAGGACGTACCGGACACGGGGATGCGGCGCACGAGTCGGGCGAGGTGAGGAGGAGGGAGATGGCGGGCAGAGGGAGGAGGATGCCCTCGTCCCCTCCACTTCGCCCAGCTTATAACTGTGCCCCAGACGCCGACACGTCGCCGCCTCTCCCTCCTCGCCATGCCCTCCCGGTGCGCTGCGCGCTCCGTCTCTTCGGTTCGCGTCGTGCACGTTGTCTTCGCTGTCTACGGCATGCGCTGCCCTCGGACGACGGCGCTCCGGCATTTCCACGCACGCCCGACCCTGACGGTCGCACTCCGCGCAAGACGCCGTGCGTTCCGCATCGCGTGAGCGGCGGCGACGAAGACGGGAGGCCCGCCCTCTGCGCCGTCCGCGGCACGCCTCGACGACGT